ACACTCAATAGTAATAATGTTTTAGAAAAATATTCAAGTACATTAACAATAATGACAATTGCAGAATGCTGTCAGAAAGAATAATGTATGTGAACAAATAGTTTATTAGATGCCAATGAGTATATTTCTGATATTTAATCCCTTTCAAACTCCACAGTATCTGTGGAAGGTCAGAGACCACAAGCAGCACCTTTAGAATTGTGCATCTTCTGACAGAAAAAGGTAAGAAATGAAAACAATTCATCACAAAACAACAACAAAAAGCTACTTCTTAGTCCCTTTTGATAATTTTTAAGCCCAGTGTTCAAGATGAGAATATCGGATTAATAATGTTTAATTAACTCTCAAGAGTTTCTTAGCTCTTACTCCTAGCTCATTGACAGATAATAGAATCCACTGCTCCCAGGATCCAGAAGAGCAAGGTGGAGAAATGAGGCCAAGTTCCATTGAGAACTTTTTATGTGTCTGTCCTTCTTTGCCTTATCTCTACAGGGGTTTGCCTGCTGAATATCATAGAGGGAAATCTCTGCTCCCTTTGTCTAAGTAAAACCTCTTCTCCATTTTATATAGTTAGATTTAATTAGTGCTTTTTTAAAGTAGAAAAAAATAGCTATCAATAACTTAAATTGTGAGAAATTATTGTTTTTTTAATCATGAGAAATTATAAATGTTTTCCCAACCTCTTGCTTTTTCTCTTCCTATTTTCATGTGAAGAAGTGTTATCACAAAAGTAGCCAAATACATTTTTTTGAGTGAATAACGTGAATATCATTCTGGAGCTTGATGCAAATGGTCAGAAAAGGCACTGGAATTACTTAGCCATAGTATGCATCTTAAATATGTGAGAGATTTTAAAACACAAGAGATAAANAAAAAAAAAAAAGAAAATTCACTACCTGAAGATTGATTTCTCAACAAACCTGTCTTTGAGGTTCACTGGCTGACTTGACTTTTCCCCCAATATCTCCCAGAATTTTGATTAGTTTCTTTTCCTTGGAAAATTCATCACTCAAGGCTTTTCCTACGCAGAATTGGAGAGCAGCCAACAGCTTCTGATACCAGCTTTTAAAATAAACTTCATTCTGTGCATCTTTTAGCAGCCTAAAGGAAAGAGAGAAAAAGAATTCTTGTATCTAAAGCTGATTTTTTTAACCACCTCCAGCAGGAATGATAAGTGCATTACATACTAATGTGTGTTTGGTGGCCTTGGGCATTTTAACAGCCTGAAATGGGGGAAAATATAGTTTATTTGTTGGCAGTCATCAAGTTCCATCTGATAGCTAATGAGATTCCAAGAATAAAGAATCAATAAGAGACCTGCCTTTTCTCATTTCAATTCACAATGCACTTTTTTCTTCTTTCAGTCTTAATTCTGCAAGAAACACTTATCTCAGGAACACATTTTTGACTTCTTAATAAAACAAGACAAAGAACTTTAAAAATATAGTGGACTAATGGGTACAAAACTGTGCTATCTACTCTTAGTGAATCATTGTGCAG